ACCACGCCACAGCAAAAGCACCTTCCTTACCACTATTGTCAAGAGTCAGACGGGTGATCAACATCCAGATAAAGAGAACTGCAGGCTGTATGCACTTATGGGTTGGGACAGTCCCTTTAAATCACAACGTACAAAATCCTGTTTAAAAAGTGATGTTTTAGATCTTTGTAGCAGGTGAGACATGTCAGCAATATCTCACATCCTGGAACAGATTCAAAAAGGGGCTGAGGATGAAGATTTGGCCAAAGCAGCATCACTGGCTCCTGGTTCCTCGAGGAACTTGAGGTCATTTGCAGTGCTTGATAAGATTAAGTTTGATAATATGTAGCATATATCAAACTGAGTCCTACTCAGTCCAAATACTTGGGACGGTCTGAGCTGAGTAGGTGAGATGATCTGCAGCTTTTCAGGGCTCATATCTTTAACCTTTAACCTCCACCAACGTCGTGCCAAATCCAGAACCAGTTTCACGTATTTCCACCTCCCTAAAAATGTACTGGTACTAGTAAGCATGGCACCACAAACTGATGATGCCTTGCTGCCTCCAGTTCTTCCAGGAAGTGAGGATAATGAGACGTTCCCGAACAGCTCAGCTGTGTCCCGGGTCTGCCACGGGGTCTCCTCCTGGTTGGACGTGCCCAGAAAACATCACCGAAGAGGAGACGACCTGAACCTCGTCATCACAGACGCAAGAGCTCTGCTGCTTTGATGGGATGCTTTTGGTCACCAACCAAAGCTGGTGTCATAGCTGAGAGTAAGGACATACCTTCACCACCACAAGCTGCTGCAGCTCCATCTGTCAATCTGGGAACAACTCGGAGCATTCGGTGCTCAAAGGCACAAAGGTAGAACGGGTGGACGACCTGGAAGGTGCTCTTTAACACATTCTGATGGATATGACACGGCGAGGACGCCGTCGATGTACGGACAGAAACATCGTGAGCGTGCAGCGGCTGTTTGACATCGTTGAGCCTGAGTCAGTGGTCAGAAGGCAGCACTTACATGCATTCTGCACAAATTTGAAGCTCCACATCTTCACTAATGTCTCAGCGTCGGTTTGGATCTCGTGCCTTCTGACAGTATTTAGCTTCACGCCACATCAGTGTTAAAACAAGAAGAGACAGCCCAGATGCCGGTGCGCAGAGTGGGAAGGCTTTTATGTTCAATTGTGTCAAACCTGTTTCCACTTGAACCCCACTGCCATGTCTGTTGCCCTCAAGTGCCTTTCTCTGTTTATTATTTTCTCCCTTTTCCCTTTTTTCATTCCCAAACCTGTGAAGTGACGCCGTTGTCGCTCTGGCAGGAGATGTGTGGAAACACACTGCTGGTGTTATGCAGCGAAAGTGCCTGAGTCAGTTTGGGGAAATGTGACAAAAATTGCCTTTCATAAGCAGGAAAATTGGTCATATTAACTTTGGTGATTTGCATAATAACATGCCACATGTCATCAGCGCCGAGTGTTTCCAAAGCATGTTGGGGTGGTGGTGTGTACTCTCACACAGTGTGGCTGGTAGTCATACCCCAGCCTGGCACAGGACTGTTACGTCACAACAGGAAGGCTCCGTGTCCAGTGTGGCTCCTGTAGGAGTCGCACCCGTTCTGGGAGGGAACCAAACAGGTCTGAGCTTCACCAACTGAAGAGGACTGAATGTTAAACACTGGATTATTCATCATGCAAAATGTGAACTGTAAGCAGACAGCCCTGTAAAATAAAACCTGCACTACCTGTGTCGTGTATATTGTGTATATACAGAACACTTTATACAGTATGTAAAGTTAAATAAACAAGTTACAGAGTAAGAGTGTGCCGAACTGTTCTTCACTGTGCAGCTTCGTGTCGTGACAGAAGCTCCGGACAAAACTTTAGTGCCGGACTGTCCAACGCCAGGTCTCAGATGATCCAACACAGCTGATTCAAACGGCTGGATGACCTCCTCAACATGCCGTGAAGTTCTCCAGAAGCTGCTAATGAACTCATGTGATTCACGTGTGCTGACCCAGGGTGAGATCTAAAACCTGCAGGACAGCGGCCCTCGAGGCCTGGAGTCGGACGCCCCTGTTTTAGCATCTTCAATCCTGCAGACGCCAGAATCATCGGCATAAAGCACAAAACGTTTGTTATTACAGTGTGTCAGAGCATTTATTATAGTTCAGGTGTTCAGTCAGTGGGAATAATTTTAAGAAGGCGCAGCTAGTTGGGAACACTGCAAGTAAAAGATTTAATGAAGGCGTTAATACCAAAGTCAGCATGAGTCAGTCAGGCGTGACAACAATTCAAATTCTGGCTCATGTCTATAAAACGTACTGATTTGTGGTCTCACTGAATGAACCCAGAGTGGTTGTGACACTCATGCCATCCATGTCACATTTTCATGTCTGTGTTATTTTTAAATGTGTTCATTAAGGGTGTGTATCAGGTCATTGGGTTAAAATGCAACAGCTGGGATGAAATAGAAAAAGCTTCTTTCAGGTTTCACACGCGCATCTCTGCATCCTTTAGAACTGGATCAAACAGGTTTGTTTTTCACCACTGTTAGTGTTTTTGTTTAGAGACTGCAATGAAGGGGAAAAAACGCAGATTTAAAAAATAATTTCTTGTGCAAACCTGGACAGTCTGCTATGTCCTCTCGGACGTGACTCTGCAGTACATATTTGATCTCCTCCAGTGCGTCAAATTGATGATCCTCTGACTTCATTTCCATTTTTAAGATGAAGTCACGCTGAGGAAAGTCTGCTTGCACCCACCTCATTTATCAAAGCCTGTGTCAGTGCAAAAGCTGAGTATTTACCCTAGGGTGTCTCAGTATTAGTCCACGTGCACAGTTTCACCCTGGGAATGACCTCGGTCACAGTCCCATTAATGTCACAATTATGAGCACAGTCCTGGTCTCAGTGCTCACCGTCCAGCATCCAACCAAAAAATAACCCGTCCACTGAAAACCGTGGAAGAGTTTTAAAGAGGATGCTTGCTCTCTGCACAATGAGCAGCACGTTCTGGCCAACAGTTTACGCCAGCTGCCCATCCTGATGCAACAGTTCCAGTATGCAAATGTCCTGTTTATAAGGGGAAACCTGCAGTCAGCTGGGGCTGCAGAAGCCACCTGGATGAGTGAGAAACCTTTCTCCCACTGAAAACGCCACATCCAGATAAACAGAATAACTTTATGGGAACCGCCTTGGTGCAGAACATCTTCAAGAACCTTCAACCAAGCTCTCAAATCTACTCGTGCACCAGAACAACAGGAAAAAAGTCTCCAGAAAATCCTCAAAGATGAAAAAAAGAAACAAGCTCGTGGATTGTGTCACGTCCGCGTCACGAGCACCGTAGTAACGCCAGTAAATAAAGACTGGTGGGTGTCTCCTGTGATGCAATTGTCATAGCAACACAAATCGCTCACGCGGTCCTGGCTGAGCTTCAATTAGCACCTGGCACGAGCCGAGGTAGCTGCCTCTTACAGATTCAGCTCATGTACACAGCTGAGTGATTGCTCACTGCAACGATCAACTCTTCCTTCGTTTTGATGCTGAACTGCACAAGCAGCCAGTCAAAGCATCACCTGACTGCTCGACACGTGAAAAACATTTTCTCAACTTTGAGTGCAAAAGCAAAGCAGCAGGTTCACCGTTCAGTCGACAGGACGCCATCGCCATAAATACGTCGCGTAAGTTAAGACGCGAAGAGGCTGAAATGCGTCCATGTGGAGGCATATCGATTATTAACATAACGTGTTAATAATCAATACATATCTGAAATGTGAGATTTAAACCTGAGTGTTCATCAGTGTGTGCACCAGTCCAGTGGCTCCGTGTGTGGAAACATTTCTTAAGTGTACAAAAGCTGCTGTGGATGAAATCATCTCAGTGTAAAGTCTACAGGCCACGAGGGTCAGGACGATGAACACTAATGAGCTGCGCGCTGAAGCAAACCAGAAGACAGAATGGAAAATGATTTGGTGTCGTTTGTAATTAGGACTCCGAGCTGAAAGAAACCACGAGACCACGAAACCCGTGGAGTCAGATCCACATTCTGCATCTCGGAGATGATCGACCACCGCGGACTCACCAGCCACAGGAATGATTGTATGTTTCTATATTACAGCGTGGAGTGTATCAGCAAACCTCAGAGACTGTTCATACATTAAACCTCACAGCAGGACAAACAGTTGCCTTCTTTTATTCTTACGATCTCCTCAATGTAAACAAGTTCGCCCAAACAAACTGAAGGTAGCCAGGACAATAAACCTGATCAGACACTTCAAATGACTCACACAGCTGAACATTTTACAGGAGCTAACAATAGCAAAGTGGCAAGAGCAACGCAGCACAGCATAAACGCTCTGGTTCTGTTACATTAAGCAATAAACTTAATGAAAGTACCAGAAATTTGTTTTAATATATAAATGTGTCCCAACTCTGAGTTTGTCAAATTCATCAGCTAAAGTTCCAGGAAATCGTTTACACTTCATTACTTGGACTTCTTCTAGTAGCAAAGCACTTAATCAGCTGTAAATATGAGAGGACCTTAATGCTTAATCTGAAAATACTATTTTACATCGAAGGAAAGTTTATTTTTCTAATATCTCGGCTACACGTCTCGGAAAGAAAACCCACTTCAGCACTTTTCAGCCCTGAAGGTCATTTTCTCAGACGCCAAAACTTCAAATATAACATTCATTAGTTCATTATTGAATGTCATTATGTTGCAGTTATTTGTTTTAAATGCCGTACCAGGAGTCAAAGTATTTCATTCAAAAATGAATTCTTAATCATTTGCTCCATCAGGCTGCTACTCTAAGATATTTTTTGCCTCTCACAGTCACTATTTTCTACTTCTGAGCCTTCGGCAGCTCTGCCTGCTCCGTCCTACGTTCCTTCCACCTGATGCTACGAAGAAACTTATGGAAAAAATGATTTGAACTTTTAAAGAACAACATTGCCATCCTGAATCACTGCTGTGAATGAACTGAGTGCACCGATGAAGAAAGACGCACAAACCCAGCAACGATGAGGAGGAAGTCGTGTATTCACTTCTTTCTACAGTGTGGAAACAGATTCAGAGAGGAGGACACAGGAGTCTGTGCCAAGTCCGCATTAAATGGAAAAGGTGGGTGCTGCAGGTGGAGGTCCGTCGGGCTCTGGCAGCTTTATGCTCCGTCACCTCCTCTCAGCACTTTCTGTGAGCCCAGTACTCTTTGATCCAGCCGAGACCCTCGTCTGTGGAGCCTGCAGTGCAAAGAGAGAGTTAATTACGGCTGTTTTCTAAGTCTTTTTCATAATCATTCCTTAAATCACACGAACACTCACCTTGCGGCTTGTACTCACACCCGATATAACCCTGGTAGCCGATGTTTTCCAGTGTGTCGAACAGGTAGCTGTAACTGAGCTCTCCGGCGCTGTCGGGCTCATTTCTGCTGGGAACCTGAGCAATCTGGACGTGACCTGAGAAACGTGGCAACCTATCATCTTGTGATGTGTTCACACCAAACATAAAACCAGGTTTTATGTGTGAAACTGCCCAAATTTGTGTTGGGCAACATAAAGAGCAGAAGTCAGCGCCTGACCAGATACCTACTGTGGATAGGATTACCTCCAGTAACACGGAGGACCTGGGAGTGCTTTAGTCCTTCAATACAGACACGAAAGAAACACGTAGGACTCTTTCATCTGTGCAATGTGTCAGAGTGATGCTGAAAATCAGCCCGTGCATTTGTTACTTCTACACTTCAGTCGCGCTGCAAACAGAACTAAACTCAGCCTCTCTGAGTGCAGCTGACAGAGGTCAGTGTCCATATCAAGATTATGAGGTCTGCAAGGTGATTTTAATTAACATCCTTAATGCCACTTGTGTGATAAGACACAGATACCTTTAGTCTGCCTCTGAGAAAGAAAAAAGCATGCTGCTCGATAACAAGGTTCAAGTTTTAAAATGTCATTTACGGCAGCCTACAGTCAGTATCTGATGCTGATGAAGCAAACGACCTGATGGACCTCGTTTCCTCTGTAGCTGCTGTTTAAAGGCAAAGCACATCCACAGCAGATTCATATCATCAGCAGGGTAAGTCAGTTCCCTCTGCACATCCAGTTTTTGTGCATTATGGCCATTTCCTGGCTCTAACTCAAGCCACCACGCCGTCACCCCCACGAGTTCGAGCACTTTCAGAATAGAAGAGACAGGAAGTGTGAGTGACGGCAGAAATTAATAAAGAAGAGAAGGAAAGACAGGCAGCCTCTGCAGATATTAACCCAGAAGGATTCGATTTGAGGTCTTGACTGCTATAACTGATTTGAGTTTTTAATACCAGATGAACATTTGCATACTCACCAATGACAGGAATATACTTTTGAATGTTTTGTGTGAGGTTTCCATCCATTATTTGCCAGTGAAAGATGTCCTGAAACAGTGTAGACGGCTGTTACGTTATTTGTCTCCACTTTAGACACATTTTGAAAGAACCCACCATCTGCAGTTTCATGTTTGGCTTTCCAACCTTCTCCAGGATTGCAGATGCTGCAGACAGAAAAAAGAAGCATTTACATGTGCTGGAAATGAGACGACATACTGAACGTCATCATTACAACATCGCGCCGTTCATGGTTCAGGGCCACTGATGAATAAACATACCAGCTCACATTTAGGTTGGGATTTTCCCGCTTTAGCTGTTGACTAATTTTACTGACACCGTCTGAAGGCCGTCACACACCAGATGCAGAAAAACTGTGCAGTTTTTGGACTGATTGTTAATGCAGCAGCTGTAATTTCACTTTTTAACCAAGCTCGATTTTTCGGCTCGGAATAAACCGATCTGACCAATCAGACCACTGCATTTGGTTGGTCCAGCTCAGCGATGATGGACGATTTCATTGCTGCTGTTTGGCTTTTGCATCATTACGTTCACGAGTTAATTTGGGAAAAACAAACTGATGAAAGTCTTTAAAACGTTACCAAAGTCTACAGGTTGCACGTGCAACCACTGCCATTATTCATTTTGATGTCTGAGACTTTTATGACTACAAAAGTAGTGAAACTGGTAACTAAGGTAACAGGAAAAGACGTAGGCAGACACAGCAAAGCAGCAGGAGCAAAATAGTGTTAGCATGTCTGCATGAAGGACATATAATACACTCGCATCTAACATGATATCCAGAGGGTCAAAGGTCACGAGTCCTGATATTATCATCGTTCTCGTCAACCAGTCAACTCTTACTTGAAGCTCCAGCTGAACTCATAGTTTGGTCAGGTCAGCGGTTTTTGATCATTCATATGCAAAAGTAAACATAACGTGTTTCTTGATGTCAGAGTGGGCGGGCTTACCCTGATGAGGAGAGTCCAGAAAATACCCGGGGTCTGTAATCCTGGTGTTGATCGGTTCAATCAGTCCAATGATTCCTTCCTAAGAGCGATAGTGTGATTGGTGTGACTTTAATCATATTTTTCATTCATTATACACATTTTAATACCTTCACAGGGACTCAAACCAGCAACCTTCAGGTTACTAGTTGCCAGTTTCAAACTCTGGGCGTCTCATATTTTGCTGCCCAAGCTAACATCCCAGACCTGGCTCACCACAACGTACTACAGGTGTCCAAAGTAGTGACTGTTGACAAAAATAGTTACCAAGAAATCCAAACGTTTGGGGAAAAGCCTGCACACTGTCCACAGAAGAGTCGAGAATATCGCCCCGAGCACAGACCCTGCTGTCCTGTCAGAGGCGCTTCTATCTTTGCTTTTACTCTGCTCAGTAAGTGCAGAGTGGAAAAGGTTTCAACAAAAACACATCATTTTGAGTCATTTTACACAAAACTATAGCAGCCGCCCCCCAAAGGAACAAATACAATCACAGCTGTTGGCTTTCACGCTGATTTTATCAGATAATGCTGCAACTACTAGAATCAGGATTTCAGCAGAGAAACAGCAAGAATAAAACAGGAGTTTTAGTGTGTGCCAGCTTTGGTCTCTATTAAATTACAGTATACGAGCACACGTACAGCCTCACATCATGGCCTTACTTTCAGCAAACAGTTGGTAAAAGCCAATGTGTCCCAGTGCCAGCCCTAGAATGGATTCAATTATGTTTTATTGTAGGTCTATTTTGCAATGACTTCTAGAAGCTCCACACGAGTGCAACTGTATGTATTACAGGGATAAATTGAGCATGAAATATTTGAAATATCAAGATATAAACTGTCTATTGTGGTATAGCCTAAAGTCATTGTCCACAGGCCATTACACCCAGCTCCATCTCTGTTCATATCTGGCAACAGTGCAGCTAGAAACGATACAGAAGTGCTTCAAACGCTGTCGCAGGTCAGTGTCGGGGCTCGTCCACGTGGATGCACATGCGGTTTTCAGAGTATTTCGCTGAAAAGCAGCCGTGTCAGACACAGTGGAGGGCTGGGAAGCGGTGACAGGGACGCCAGCTGAGGTGGAAAGTCACTGACTGACGTCGCAGTGGGCGTGGCTCTCAAGCAGAAGTTTGTGGAGAAGCAAACGGCTACAGAGCACTGAGTGACTCTCACGTTAGCTCATCTCTGTGCGACAGCTTCAAGCACTGGAACAGATCCAGCTGTTAGCGTGGAGATCCTCTTTCTCAGCCACGACACCAAAACGCCTCCACGTAGGCTCAACCCACTCAATTAAACATATATTTACCTTTGCTGTGCTCATCACGTGCACTCTGAAACTCTGCCTTTACTCCAGTGCAGGGATTAAATCCTTTTTCATGCCCAAAGGGGAATGCATTCATGAAAGATTTATGACTGCACTGCCGTGACAGTAGTGGTATGTTGGACAGAGAAGGTCACTTACCTTTGAAAGGATATCAGCGGCATATTTCAGGTTCTGCACAAAGACCGCCTCCATTTCCTTAGCAACCGTCGCTCTGTCAGAGTCCACGGGAACTCTCCCAGCCATCAGGTGAATCCTGGAAAGGAAATGTAGAAAAGATGACACACAGGAACATCTATTACTCTATTCTAGCTTTTAAAACACATTTATAAAGACTGCTTTTGTGGCAGACTTATTAAGGGAGCTGAGCTTGTCCCAAATTGGTCTGAATCGACCTTTTTCGCAGCAGACACGTTGTCTGGTTAAAGCAGGTGTCATTAACAATGCCTGCGTTCTGCTGAAATGTGACAATGAGTCTGCACGAGCAACACCAGCAGCTAAATGGATTTGTATTTTTCACACACTGTGCCAAATCAACATGGCTTTGTTCAACTCTGTACCTGCAGGGCAGCTTTACACACCTGAGAACAAAAGTGACACACAAAGATCTCCAAAAGGTGCGTTTGTTTGGTTTATCAACCATCTAATCAAACTGGCTCAAATTATGAGATAACTCGGCGGCAATTACAAGAATTAAGAGACAAACAAGCTTTTCAAATTTACGTTGCCAGCTGCTCGGAAACAAAACGGAAAAATGAGCCGACAGATGTTGAAAAGAGATGTTTCCAGCACGTTCCAGGGAACAGCCGGGCGCTCGGACACAAGGGGCTGTTTTATGACTCGCATTTGGCAACATGTCTCCTTGTTTGTAACTGTGGTCAGTCTAACACGCAATGATGTCCAGTGAGGATCTGGAACCATAACGCCATGTCACAGGTCAGCCAGCATCCTCTACATGAACAAAGCAGTGGGGATGATGTACGCTTTAAGTCCAGACCAACACACAATGTCTTCACTTAACCTTTAGTGGAAACGCGACGCTCCCGTAACTGGATAAGACAAAAAGGAAACGCACTGGTGGAGCCACAGTCATTCATCCAGCTGCTGGTTTATTTAACACACGCTGTCATTGCAAACGCGTAAAACACTAAAACTGGTAAAAACAAAACTTTGGAAACTGAACAGAGCACTGCAACATGAAGTAGAAATTTCTGCTTTACATCTACAGAGCATCAGCGAACCTCGGCGGACCGCTCTAAAATCTCGCACCATTAGACAGCACCATTAAGAGGCTTAGCCCGCCCCAGAGCGGTCATCAAGAACCTTACGCTGAAATTTCCTGTAAATTACTCCGATTGTATCAGGGGACAACGCCAGCGGGCGGAGTTATTGATTGCTGTGACGTCACGCCTATTTACATGAACTGAATTGACTTTTCCTGGTGGTACTTTGGTCCCGACCACAGTGGACTCTGGTGTCTGCTGCACACAGCTGCTTCTGTTCGCTAAATCTCTGCAGCCTCTGAAGACGGCAAATCTGTAGCCTCAGATGCCAGAAGTGTGATTAACGTCATTATAACACATCCAAAAGATATCAGGCAGTTAATGCATTTTATGAAAAAGTCACAAAAACCAGCAAAGCTGTGACTGAAAGCTTCCAGTAACTTCAAATCTTCAATGCAAATTTTGAAGGTGAACCAGAAAATCAACAGGAAGTTACAAACCAACTGCTTTGACTGTGTCCAGAACATCTGTGCACGGTGCTGAAGAGATATCAAATGAAATTAAGTTCAACTATTGCTGAGCTTTACTTTCATTAAGTACCAGCTGGTGTGTCGTGACTTAATCAGACGATAACATAACGGAGCGACAAATGACAACAACTCTCGAGGAAATGAGGGCTGTGCAATGAAATGCAAAAACAATTCAACACATCCACCAGTAAATCACCTGCTGGCTGAACCTGCCAAAGCAACCACAGCATGTACCAGTAATGCTGCGGTTGTGTCACTGCCAGCACAATGAAAATGACCTTTGATTTTCTTATACCTTGTATAACATTTGGCAGAATGAGTGGAGAAAGCAGTCTTTGTGTTTTAAAGTAAATGTGTTTCGGCTGCTGAGAGCACAATGTTTTACTTAGTGAAGGAGCACTTACATTTACAGAGCGGTATTACTAGGCCATAAACGTTGCCTGGTGTTCAGCAGACAGTGTTTGGGCTCTTGCTGGCAGCCATGCCTCTTACTAAAGTGCCTTTCTTCGAGCTGCTCTACTATCATGGCCCGAGAAACGTCTGAGCCTGGTTGACTTGCAACTGTAAGTAAGTTAATTTTATTTATGCCGCACTTTTCAAGAACAAAACACACAAAGTGCTTCACAAGGTGTTATAAAGAAAGCGCACAGATGCAACAATTTAAACCATGTAAATGGTAAATAAAAGCAAGCTTGTACACAAAGCTGAAGTCCACCGAGAGCGAGTTCAGCAATTTGTGTAAAACAGTCTGCTTTGGTGCTGAGCCTGGACTCACTGCTGGAACAACCAGCATCACTCAGTACAGCTCACTGAGAGAGACAGCTGCCCCCAGAGAGCAGGGGGGTGATAGTGTCCCATTTTTATATTTACAATATTTAAAAATACTGTTGAAAAAAGCTACGAACAGCTGGGAACAGCAGCATTATTGGTGCAAACTAAAACTGAAATTCAAGCCTTGGTTTTGATGACTACTGTCAGTGATGACCGACGACCTGTTAGTGTGAATTTAATGTCACAAGCTGCCAGCAGAAGCATCATAGTACAACAGCAGTGACACAGTAACAAACATGCAGCGAGTCATTTGAATAATGCCATCGTAAAAAATTCTCGACACAAATTCTTTGCTTCGTTTAACACACGGCTCTGGAAATGTGAGCCACTGAGAACAGAACTGCAATACAGGTAATACAACTTAGGAGCAGCAAGTAAACAAAAGGTTAAGTTAATTACGTTTATTAAGCCCGCCAATACTGACAACACCACAGCAGCAGAGATGATGATGGTCTAACATGGAGCCAGAGTTTACACACTGCGAAGAACAAACCTCTGAGTCCAAAGACGAGGAGTATGTGGTCAATGTCCCCGCAATTAGCTGAGCTGACGACATGGAATATGTTGACGGGTTAACCAGAGATGAGCCGGAACCACGCAGGTGGCCAGCGCCCCCAGGGAGACGAGGACGTGCTGGACGTGTGGTTTGTTGAGGGATGAGCAGGAGAGCCTATCGCAGTGCGCCGCTACTGCTGCGTCGGCCGGCCACAACGACGTGTCTCTTTTTCCCGTGGACTGACCCTCTCCTCTGCCAGCTCAGGACACGTTGTAATTCTTATCCTCCCACCGGAGCCCATGACGGCCAAAAACTGGCGTCCCATGTTCCCGACTTGGTCTCTGAGCTGACCGCATCATGCAGCAAAATACTGTCACCTGTGTCACTGTGGACCTGGATGGTGCTGAGGAGGCTGGCTTAGCTGGAGCTGTCCCTGGCTGCTTATCTGCCCCCGTCTCACAACCACGGTGACGGTTGCCCCACAACTCTGCCGTTCACGCACTGCAGCTTCAGCACGCGCAGCTGGACAAGATTTATCGGGCTCAGGCACTGCCGCTTCGTCACAGTGCTCCAGACGTACCAGGCGATGTCCCTGGTGGTGCTCGGGCTGCTGGTTCCTGCAGACAGCCCGCTGGCACTTCTCCTTAACAAGGTCATAATCGCCACTGATTAGATCCTTCGTGCGCCCTGCTATGCAGTAGTGGTATGGAGTGCTGCACCCTATGCAGCACTGCCTTGGCAGAGGGATGGTGTTGATGGGAGTGGCACAGAGGTACCTGTGGCTGACGCTCTTTGATTTCCCAGACAGGGACAAAGCTGTGTATTTGACGAACCAGTGTCTGCTGCTGGGCTATTCGGACCATCACTGGAAGCAATGCAGGCTGGATTTGATCTGAGGAAGAAGCAGCTCTAGCTCTCACAGGCCTGCCACTCCTCTGCCGACCTGCGAGAGAGCGGCGCCCACGGCTGCTGCGGGTGACCTTGCAGCGAGCGCACAGCCTCCGTATCGACTTCCACACCAGCAAACCCTCGGGCCCAACAAGCCTCAGCCCTCCTATCTCTGGGACCGAGTGGAGAATGGGTCCAGCGGCAGGGAAATGCTGCTTTTCCCTCTCTGTTGCTGTCCAAGAGGCACCACTTAAGTTGTGTTTAGGTTGTCGGCCCTAGACAACACTGCACTTTTCTACCACCGTCTACGAAGCACAAACCCCTGCACACGAAATTTCTCAGGTTGTAACTCCAAGTTTGGGTATATTGAATTTTCAGGTGACCAAATCAAGTGTTCCTGCTGTGTTTCATTGCTGTGCCCCACCAAGGTGTCTCCAACAAACTGTATTAATGTACACGGTCCTGTGTTACAATCAATGAAAAATGCTTATTCAAATGCTCAGCCTGCAAGCGAGTGAGCCAGGCCAGGCAGGTGATGCATTTCCCCATGAACACACTGGCAGCGTTAGCACCCCTCAGAGAGATGGGTGTTTGCATCTTATCTGGACCACTGGGCTCTCGTAACTTGCTAAACAGAGGTGGTGGCGACATAGCTTTTGCTGGAGGATGCTGACGGTAACCACAGCTTGCATGTTAGCTCTCTGTCCCTGGAGGGAGCCCTGGCTGCTGCACCAGGGCTCTCCGACTGGCAGTGTTGTTTCACAACGTGGTATCCACCAATGCTTCTCTGATGGGGTGGGGAGCTCTGTGTGATGGCGCATGAGTGAGAGGGATCTGGACCACAGCACAGGCTGCACATCGATCACTTACTAGCAGTGTTCTCAGCTCTCAAGCACTTTCGTCTGATTCTGAGGAGCCAGAATATCCAAGTCAGGATGGTCTCTTATATAAACAGGCAGGGAGGGGTATCTCCAGTTCTAGAGAGAGCGCATCGGCCCCGCATGTCCTCAGTTCACCATGATGACAGGTTCAATTTGACAGCTAAGGGTCTGCCCCCAAGCATGGTAGCAGCAATCAGGAGCCTCATATGCTTACAAATGGGCAGCCTTTGAGGATGGTGCCAGGACCATCCCAGTTATCCATTTCGACATTCCTGCAGGAGCTGCTGGATAAAAGCATTTTTTTCTACAATTAAGGCTTATTAAGCAGCAGACAGGGTGAGAGCAAGTGCACCTCCCAGTGCTATGCGTTTCTTTGAAAGGGCTTCACGGGCTGAGACCCGTGGTTAGGGTCTGCGTCCCTGTATGGGACGTCTCTTTAGTGTTGGAGGCCCTCTGTGTATGCGAGTATGCGGATATGAAATGTCTTTCATATAAGACTGCATTACTTCTTGGTTTCCCTTTTGTAATTATTCTGATTACTTGAAGAATCAATGCAGCCCTATTACACAGCACAAGACAAATGCAAGCGTTAGTATGACTACACGCTTGTTAATAATATACGTAATTTCTTTGTTTCTCAGGTTGGAGGTCAGGGGATAAAAAATGGATTTCAATTTACCTCTTACAGTCCAAAGCTCTGGCATACTTCACACTTAGATCCAGTCCCTCTCTGAACTCTGCTTCTCTTCCAGGAACTGCTCCAAGACCGAGATCACCTGCCTTTATATCTCCTGCAACACACACACACACACACACACACACACACACACACACACACACACACACCACTCTTAAGCTTAATTTCTGTGTGTTGAATGCCTGCTGTAGTGGGTGACATCATTGTTAGTGTTTATGATGCGTCTTCATTGCTCTGCCTCCGTAAGTGAAACTGATGATCTTGTTGCTCTGGGTGATTAATAATCTTGAACGACAGTTACTTTTAATAAAACCCTGAGGAAGAAATGAGGACTTCAAAACCAAAACTACTCACAAACTGTCAGAGCCATGAAAATAGGGAAAACTGTTTGTCTATGCTGGCAGATTCCTACCCAACATATCCTTGTTCTAATCAATATACTGTGTTTACACTAGAGATGGATCCGATATTACGTGTCGGTCCGATACTGACCTAAATTACTGGATCGGATATCGGAGAGAAATAAAAAATGTAATCCGATCCATTAAATATCACAAGAGCACCTCACAAAACTTGCCACATGGCCTAACTCGGCTCATAACCGTAGCATGTCGGAGCAGTGTGGTCACGTGATAGAGCGGCTGTGGTGCGAGACCTGTCGGCGGTCTGGTTCAGTATTTGTAGCCTCGCTACCAAACCAGCATTTTATCTCCGAGGAAGTGATCCCAGAGAAGTAAAGCAAGTGTGTAAGTAAATCTCTGAGTGTTTGTAAAGCATTCCCGCGTTAAGCTTAACAACCGATATATGGAGCGACTGCCTCCCCCTCCCTCTCCTGCTGCTACTTCAATCATGAAACTGATCAATGATCAGCTGATCGGCTTTTCTCTCGTTTGTTTTTGGCCCACTTTGCTTTTCAAGAGACAGCAAAGGGCAGCTCAGAATTGAAATGCACACATGTTCATATCTCAGATTTGCTCTTTTGACTAAATTGGGACTGTGCATAAAAAAACAAGTTAATGCAATTGCATCCATCCATTATGTTCCCCTCATTCAAATTCGGACACCTCTGGCAGCAGGGTATTCCATACATCCTTCTCCCCAGTCACATTTTCCCTCCGGGGGGGGGGGGGGGGGGGATCCTGAGGCGTTCCCAGACCTCCAAAGGGAGGTGCCTGGGAGACATCTTAACCAGTGCCCAAGTCACCTCAACTAGCTCCTTACAACATGCAGGAGAGTCAGCACCTCGAAGTCAAAGTCTGAGTCCTACAAGTCTGAGGCCACAAAAACAGTGGAAGTCTCCCACTGTGTTGGAGAAGAGATGCTGCCTCAAGCAAGGGAGTTCAAGCATTTTGAAATCTTATTGGACCAGCAGATTGGTGCAACATCAGCAGTATTGCAGGTATTGTATTGAATTGTCAAGGTGACGAGAGCACCAAGTTGAAAGACTGAGACATACTAATCCATCTACGTCCCAACTCTCATGGAATTTGGGTAATGACCAAAAGGTCGCAAACTCATGCAGTTGAAATGACAGTATGGTGGCTGGGTTCACTCTTAGAGAAAGGGTGAGAGCTCAGATGACTGGAGGCATAGTGTGGAGTAGAGCCGCTGCTCCAGCATATCGAAAGAAGACAATAAATGCAATACTTTTGTTAACCCCTTGAATTATAGCTTAAAGTCTACACTTCAATCAGATTTTATTTATTTATTTTAAATGATCAGTTTCTCCCTTTATTAACCACCTCTCAGTCAGCTGAGAGGAAACATTAACACGTATAAAGCCACCCTGCCTCCCCCTCAATGACATGTGGGACAGGCTCCAGCCCAACTGTGACCCTGAACTGGATAAGCAGATGATGCATGGATGCGGTAAGACGAGGGGTGGAACAATCCTCAAACAGACTGAAACTGTGACACAAACACAATGCTATCGTCCTGTACTCACTATTCACGGTAACCCTGTACTGAAACTGCATTAGTTACATTAGAATAGCTCAAATGTAGTATTCTTGGCTTTGTAAAACATGCCAGTAGTAGTGGAGCAGTAGCACTACCTGACACAGGCCTGACTGGCTTTGTATTGGATTTAATTTGTATTTTTAATTTTCAAATTGGCTTATTTAAGAATATTTGTCATTAAAAGAAAAACAATTAATATTTATCGTTTTAAGAAGGTCGTGAGTTTTTTTCTTTTATTGTTGTGCACTCCCACCCGGGAGGAAGTTGTTCTCCACGCCATTCTTCAGCATTGGTAGTTAACATGAACAGCTGCGTGTAACGGTGCGACCCCCTCTAGTGTCTACCTGGCGGGGTGTTGATAAGGACGACCTCCACCCCTGTGGCCTTTCTGACTCTCTGAAGCTCCTGTAGATCCGAATCGTACAGCCACGCTGCCTCCACAGCCTGAAATCCAGCCGCGGCTGCTGCTAATATTCTCTGGCTGAAGTCCGGAAGCTCTGTGAACAGCCACGAAATATTCGCACAAAACTTCAGTGGAGCCATTCTGTTAAACTTCCGAGGCCAACGACCGAGTTCAGTCGTCCAGCTGAACTTTCTACGTGCTAACAGACAGGGAGGAGCTACGCTAAGCTAGCTACATTTCCGTCGGTCTGGACCGGAAATGGAAAGCAAGCCTTTCAAAATAAAAAATAAATATATTTGAATTTTTATGTATATAGAACACAGTTCCTTGAAAATGTTCTGACGTAAAGCTAAAATATAATTAAAACAAATCACCATTGATATTCAATTGTTTTACACCACATAAAACCATTCGGGGCCGAACAAAATTCATCAAATAATTAGAGCCCTTTATTGTGGAAAATAAACCGGAAACGTTAATCTTCGAACGTCAGAGGAGACCGGTGTTATCGTCACGTGATTGGCAGCGTGCGTCCTTGCTTGTTTTTCTAAGTCCAGTACGATCATCTTATTTTATTTTACTTTGTTCATTTTATTCTACTTTATTTTACTGTAAAATTATACCTTAAAGTATAAATAATACAAAAATAGTAATAAAAATGTAATATAAAAAACTAAAGAAAAAGTACAGCAAAGAATGACTTTTAAATAAGATTGTAAGTATGCGGATAAATGTAATCTCAGGTAGGAAAATACTGCTTTCCCAAAGTTTTAAGTGTTTTAAAATACACTGTCTCCAAAACAATAATGAGTTAAAAACAGTGTTAATGTAATAGGTTTAACTCCAGCATCTCAATGTTTGTTTTCCTTGTTGCTTTCTTTTCTTTTCTTTGTTCGTTTTTTGCTTGTTTGTTTGCTCTTTTGTTTTATTTAAAGACAAATCACAAATGCAAAAAAAACGTATTTCAGGACACTGTTTTTGAAATAAAACTATTACTGAACTGTACATTAATTTACTTATCACACACTTACAAAAAACTGATATCATACATTATTGCTCTGGTTCATTTGATTCTTTATTATCTGACTTATTTCAGTCTTTTTTCTTTCCATTTAGCAGTTTTGGTTCGTTATAAAACATCTGTCATGTTTATCATTGGAAACCTTCAGATTGTGAGGTTTGGCAGCTCAGTTTATCCCCAGTTTGTGCTCTTACATGGGCTTCTAGCTAACAACAGCTATTCACATCATCCATATGTGACATTTTTCCATTGTGAAAAGGCTCTTTTAGTAAGTTCTCAGCTTACATCTGTGTTTCCCATCCTGGATTCCAGCAGGCTGCTAGCTGTGGTTTGATTCTGAAGCAGAGGTGGACCTTGGGGTTACAAATATAGTTTTTGTTGTGCTCTGAGCTGAATGTTTTTTTTCTCAATCCAGATATGATATCCAGCAACAATATCAACCTTCTGGGTTTTCCAAACATTGCAGATCTGTATCTTTTAGAGGAATTGGTGCTTATCTGTGGCCTGTCACCTACTGAAAGGCACAAACCAGGGTTATCTTAACTTGAATTCACAGTAGCTTACTTTCTCATTAAAAACATATTAATAGACTGTAAAGGCTCAGAAACAATCATGATCTGCTATCTCAGTTGTAAATAACTGGATACAGATATTAACCTTATGTATAGTGTTTTGACTAGAACTGGTCCTTTAAGTTGAACATAATATTAGTGTCTTCTTTCACTTGTGCGGTCCTGTCACTGCTTTGAAACATCGTGTGATGTTGCCCTGGCAATGAGTCTTTACAGCACCATGGAGGAATTTTGTCTAACTCATCTTTGCTTAACTCATTGTTGTAATTGAGCAACACTGGAGTGTTTTCAAGCATGGACTGCATTTCCAAGGCCATGCCCCAGCATCTCAGTCAGATTCAGGTCAGGGCTTTGACTGCGTCACTCCACATACAAGTCGCACATACATGTTTCTGCTAAGCCATTCAGAGGTAGACTTGGTGTGTTTCGGATCATCGTCCTGCTGCAGAATCCAAGTGCGCTTCAGCTTGAGGTCACAAACAAACTGCCGGACAGTCAGCAGAATAACACGGTTCAGTTTAGCACAGGAAGTCTTCCAGGTCCTGAGGCAGCAAAACAGCTGCAGACCATCACCCTACCACCGCCATATTTGACTATTGTTATGATGTTCCTTTTGTGAAATGTGTTAATTTTACGCCAGATGTAATGAGCCACACACCTTCCAAAAAATGAAACTTTTGTCTTGTCAGTCCTAAAGGTTTTGGCAAATGTGAGATGAGGTCCTTTTTGGTCAGCAGTGATTTTCTCATTGAACTCTGCCATGCAGGCCATTTTTGCCAAGTCTCTTTTTTATTGGTAAATTATAAACTCTGACTGTGTCTAAGACATGTAAAGCCTGTGGTTCTTTAATGTTGTTCTGGGTTCTTTTGTGACCATCTGAATTAGTTACCTTCTGGACTAAATTTGGAGTAATTGTGGTCGGCTGGTCACTCCTGGGAAGGTTCACCGCTGTTCAGTGTGGATAATGGCTCTCTCCATGATTAATTGGAGTCTCAAAGCCTTAAAATGGCTTCGTAACCCTTCCCAGGCCGATAGATGTCAGTGACTTTGGTCCTCAGGGGTTTCTTTAGATCGTGGTATGATGTGTTGCTTTCTGAGATCTGTTAGTCTGCTTCACTTTGTCGGACAGGCACCATTCAAGAGATTTCTTGATTCAAAAACTGCGTTTTGTGTTTACTTGAGTTATCTTTGTGTAATATTCAAATCTGTTTGATGATCTGAAATATGTAAGTGTGACAAATGCAAAAAACTAGAAAAGGGAACAAACACTTTTTCACACCACTGTATACCCCTCAGCTCCTAGTAGATGCTCCTATAGTATCAGTCCTGCGTCGCCTCATTCTTATCCCAACTTAAACGTGTCCATGCCACCTCCCCGCCTGGCAGGTTGACAACAATACCCCATAAACTTTTGCAGCTGAGAATGACCCTGAGAATGACCCTTATCTGCATGCAGTCAAATGTGATGTGTTATTAGAGGAAAAGCAGAAGTCAGAAACGCTCTTATAACCAAAAATCTGGTCCATTTATTCATATCAAGATTTATAAAGATGAAAAATGATTTTATTGGCTTAATGCTGCTTTTCTGAAACTTACCAAACTTGTAAAATAGATTCTTAAAACAAAAAATAAGACAATTTTTTTTTATTTGGGACACAGAATACACCGTCCTAGTGAAAACACTACCCTGTGTCATTTTGGAAGGGCTGACCAAACAAAGCCTTTGGTATAATTTTAAAGGACTTCTCTTGGTGCTCGATCTGCTGAGCCTGCTGTTCAGTGCAGCCATATTTGGCTGTCATCAGAGGCCTGACCTGTTTTAGGCTTCCCGCTTACCTTTACAGGTATCCTTCATTCATTATCTCTGAGCAGACAGTCCTGCTGACTAAGGCTAATGCATGCAAAACCAATATTATTGCACCTCTGACAGCAGCTGATAATGGTGCTCTAGCTGCTGATGTGTTATTTATACTTTGGCATCCACCTAGGGTGGGAATTCCCTGTGAATTCAGAGCATTCTCAATAAAAACCCTTCAGGCTGACTTACAAACAGTGATCACTGTTTAATAAAGCCAACAGGAAAATATCTGCTGTGAGATTCAGAAACATGATTCTAGTTTATGTTATTGTCAGCAGTGCACACCAAGCTCTTACTGCTTGTGCATGACTAAACAGCTTATTCATACACATATTATATTATATATATCCTGTAATCTAAGAGAATATGGCACAAAGTAACAGCTATAGTTATACAGAAACATCCTTAAGATGTTATTGTTTCAGAGGAATGACGCGCCTGTTTCAGAGCGCCAGATGTGACCAAACATCCTCTCAGTGCCGCGCTTCATCGGTGTATCCCTGAGAGCGCTGACACTCCTCCCTTTAATTTAACATGAATGCAGATATGAGTCACCTCCAAAATATTGTAAGGCAATGAATGAATGCATGCAGTGCGAAGATTTTCACAGCAAATCATGTTAGTTAGATCAATAGTAATAAAGACTTTCTAAATATTTATAATTTTAGAACATTTTGTTCCCATATGGTTCAAATTGTGCTGCTGATTTTTTTCTCTATGGTAACCTTCTTTGATTTTAAGGCCTCAACATCAAATGAAAACTCCAGTAAACACTGCTGTCACCAGGGATCATTTTCCCCTCACACCAAACAAGTCATGAAATAAAGAAACCAAAGAGTGAAAGCACGCTGGTCTACACCATATACTCCATATTCTCTCAAATGTCAGCAATCCACACAAGTGAGGCAGCTGCTTTGAACTGACTTAAAAAATATTGTGAGTCCAAACGACTGCCAGACTGTTACACAGCTCCTGATGAGCTGTAGCTGCTTATTTTATCCATAGTTCCCCCCATCACAGTCATGCCAAGTCAAATCTTTTAAAACATCAACATGTCCTAGTTCATCAGAGCTAGTTTAGTCTCTGCCTGGTCCTCAGGGAAATATCTTTCTTGTTAGCTGCTAAATGCTCCCACTGTTCACCAGCAATTTATAAAATTGTAAACATTAAAGCAGCTGCTCATGTTACCCAATATAAAAAAACAGAAGCAAAAAAAGTGAGTACAGAGCGATCACGCTATGGTGACCCTGTGGGCGCTCTTTTATCCTTCAAGCTCAGGCCCTCTACCAGAGCGCCGGGAGCTTGAGGTTCTTCAGTATCGGGACAGAGGTCTCAGATGTTGTTGCAGGATCTGCTGGAGCCACTCCCATAACCTGGGGGTCACTGCACCGAGTGCTCCGATTACCACTGGGACCACACTTACCTTCACTCTCTACAGCTTCTGCACCTCTTCTCTGAGCCCTTGGCACTTGTACAGCTTCTTGTATTCCTTCTTTCTCACGTTGCTAACACTTGGTATAGCTACATCTATCACTATGGCCGTCTTCCTCTGTTCCTGTGCTGCCATGATTAGTGCCTCTGTGCTGTCTTTCAGTCCACCTTTTCCAGCCACTGGTAGGATTTCTGGATGTCAGCCACTTCTTCTATCTGTGGGTGGTACATAGCATGCGGGGGCCTATCCTTCCATGATGGTTCTTCCTCTTCTTTCTCGGGTTTCTGCTGCCTGAGGTATTCATGAATCACATGGTCGTCTGTGATCTTCCTGATGTCCTCATGGATGTTTGTTTTCTC